CTAGCTAACTGTTCAGAATTATCTACTAAAACAGAACACAGAGATAACTTCATATCCAACAACTTCATCCCAAGGTATATTCCTAACAGGAATATAGCTATGCACCCAGACACATGTTAGAATGTTCTCAGCAGGCTTACTCATGGTAGTTCAAACTGTGAACAACCCAATATCCACTTGGGTTAACGTATAGTAAGCAAGAATGTCACCAACCCAAATGAAAGAAACCAAGTGTGTACACAGACTTGACTGTATTTAAGTCAAGGTCAAGCATTTCCAAAACCCTAGTCTATGGTGTTAGGAGTTGGGACAGGGGAGGTGGTTCAATAAACGCAGTGAGGGAAAGCAGGGGGCCTTTGGAAGCAAATAGTGGGGGCCAAATCCAGCTTTAGAACATCAAGGAAGGCTTCCTGGAGGAAGTACCACCTGAATTGAATGAAAAAGGACGACCAGGTGAAGGGGGTGGAGGGAAGTGTTTCAGGCACAGGGCGCAGTGCATGTAATAGCTATCATGGAAATATGAGTCTGAGGCCAATGATAAATTTCTATTTCCTAATGCTTTCCCTAATTTTGTATACTCTTTAACTGTTATTCCTTATGATTTGATTTTCTTAGCTTCAATTTTTCATCTCACCTTTTTCAAGGCCCCGAACATCTCTTTGTAACCACGTGTCACACAAAGACTCAAAGAGCATGAACAGAATATTCTGTAGATGCCAACACTTATTTGTTTGGTTCAAGTCTCAGAAGCCTGGTTCCCTTCCTTCCTTCTGATGTCCCATAAGCTGTGGCTCTATATGCTAAAGATGTTCACCTCTTCCCACTTTCCAAGTCTCCCACTGCAGCGAATACATCCCAAACCCTCAAGTTCGACCTGACAGTTGGTGATGAATTACTATATCAAATGTCAGCTCAGTGGGAAGGAATTCCTACAGGGAAGTCACCTACATTTCCAACCAACCCACAGCTCTCCAATTTTTCACTTCTGCTTCTGTGCTTGCTGCCACTTCCAGCAAGAGAGGTCAGGCTGCTTGTTCTCCAGAGCCTCAGATGAGAACGTGAGGCATGTGTGTGTGTATTTCCTCGCCTCCTTCCAGTCTTGTCCAGAAGAGAGGACTGGCACAAGGTGCAGCACCTCCACCCAGATTCTCCTAACTCCGTGCAGATGTGACTGTTCCTTCCAGGAGATCCTGCCCCTTCCTGGTCCTGGGAGTGGGCATGGAGTAAGCAGACTGAGAGCCCATGGTGGGGAGAGTGGACACCATCCCAGTGGGAGAAGAGATGGAAGAGATACAGTCCTCCCCCCAAACTTCATTCTGCATACCCATGTGAGCCAGTAGCCTCCTTAGGCTATCAGCATAGGAAGAAGGATGTGTTCTGCTGGTTTGTTCATGAATCTAATTAAAGTCACATTATCCATCAACCAAACCAAGAGATGTCATTAGTAATAATAAGCCATAGTCTCTTGGGTGTAGAAAGCTCTGGACTGACAAATAATTACTCTGTGTTGCCCCAGGACCTTTGCACTTGTCATTGCTACTCTTCTCCCAGATCTTCCCATAGATGACTAAATCAAATAATTCATATCTAAAATCAAATATCTCAACCCAGGGAAGCCCACCTCAACCATGTAGGCAAAAATGGCCATGCAGTCTGTCAGGGACTTGACTTGTCTCTGGCTATAACTGAGGTGCCTTGTTGAATGTGTGACACATGGGAGGTGCTCACACATATTTGTTGAATGAGTGAATAAATTTAGTCCTGGAAGGTACCCAGGACTTCAAGGAAAAGACTTCAGTTAAGACTAAGGATGAGGGCCCTCCCTGGTGGTACAAGGGGTTAAGTCTCAGCACTATGAAGAAATCTGCAGCCACTGCATCATGAGTTCAATGCCCAGGCAGGGAGCTAACCCACATGGCACAGCAGACCTCTACTGTCTCACCTGCTGCTCCCCTCAGCAGTGTATTTCAGTCACTCCGCCTGTTCTGCTCCCCACTCTGTCTCTGGTGAATCCTCTCACCTTCCCTGCACCTTTTACCTACACCCCAGGTCTTGTATGCATAAATAAATATAAATCTTTAAAAAAAAAGGACTAAGGATGAGGTGAGAAAACCACTCACTAAGGATGGTAAACTTAAGGGGGCACCCCGAAACTCAGAAATAAAGATAAATAAAATTTGCACATTATACTTAAGAATGTCAAAATGAATGCCAAAAATCCATGATGAATAAAATAACAAATTTTTAAATAAAAACAGGATCCCACCATAATTCATTTGCCTTACCCCAGTCCTGGGCCATAAATTTTAAATTTATTTAAAATTTTGATATTTTGTTCATCATAAATTTTTGGCATGAATTTACATTTCAAAACCTATTGCATTAAAATAGTGTCTATCTTGCTGATTTTTTTGACACTATAACAAAGGCATCTCCAAAAAAGGGGGGCACCATGTCCCCTGCCCCCATTTACATGCAGTGGCCTTGGAAGAGCCACTGGGAACTAGAGAGCAGAGAGCAGGTGGAGCTGAGTGGCCAGGTGAAGCCAGACAACACAGAGGCAGGTGGACTCTGGAGCACACAGAGGAAACGTGGAGATAGGCGAGCTTGCTTCTCGGCTTTGGACTTGCACCAGGACGTGGGGACATAAAAGGAGACACACGGAGAAGAGACACGTAGAGACACTTGGAAGAGACACATGGGAAGGCTGACAATGGCGGCTGCTATCTTGAGCTGTATTTTGATTTTGCTCTTTTGTCCCAGACTTGCCTGGCCCCTTTCACCCCTTCCCGATGGTTCCCCACCAGAGGGTACCTTAGACGTGCAACAAGATTTCAGGTTTCAGTGGCCTGCTTTGGGCTGATCCTGGCTAGTTAGGTGTTTACCCACAAGGTGTTTACTGAAAGGGTAATTTAGGATGTTTTACTGGGAAACTATTAATCTTTCTCTTATCTTTCCATGCACACTAATCCTATTAAAGTTCTTTTGCACTTAGTATGCTTTGTCTTTGTGTGCACAGATGGCCAGGCCCCGTTTTGAAGCATGCAAGTTCAGGTCCCTGAGATACCCCTAAGTCTGCACACTAACAATACCCTGTTAAATTTTGTGCTCCAGACGAGTGCCTCCGCCTCCTTAGCCCCAGCAGACTAAGTGGAACAGCATGTTCTGAGCAGCTTTGCTTGGTCTACCCACAGTGCACTGACGAGCGAAATGATTTGTTTATGAATCTGTCTTTGTAGTAGTCGCCTCGGGGCAGGACTGTCTGGCTCGTGTCCTCAGACACAGCCCATGGACTCAACACATAACTAAGGAAAGAAAACATCGGCAAGACCATCACATCCCTCTCCCCCAAGCACCCCCTCCAATCCTGAGTCCCTTTCTATGCCCTGGGAGATAAGAATGACACTGAAGTTGGTGTTATCCCCATGAATATCTTCACATCGTAACTATGTAGCCATATGTCCCCATTAATGCACAGCATTTAAAAAAGGGAAAATGTCATATTTTAGGTTTTCTTTTGTAACTTCATCATTATCCTCCAGCATTATATTTTCCAGGGCAACCCATGCTCATAGATGCATCTCTAGGAAATTTTTCCTATGAAGAGTCAGATAATACATATTTTTAATCTTTGAGGTCATACAGCCCATGTGACAACTACTCAATTCTGCCATCACGGCATGGAAGCAGACAGAACCAAACAGAAAGGAATGGGCATGGCATCATGCCAATAAAACTGTAAGAAACAGGCTGAGGGGCCTCCCTGGTGGTGCAAGGGGTTAAGCACTGCACTATGAAGCAATCTGCAGCCTCTCCAGCACGAGTTCAATCCCTGGCCAAAAAGCAACCCACATGGCACAGCAGACCTCTCCTGTCTCACCCGCTGCTCCCCTCAGCAGTGTGTTTCAGTAGATCTGCCTGTTCGGCTCCCCACGCTGTCTCTGATGAATCCTCTCAACCCCCGCATCCCTGGCCTGTACCCGAGCTCTTGTATGCATAAATAAATAAATCTTTAAAAAAAATAATAAAGGCTGGAACATAAATTGGGCCCCAGGGCCATAGTTGGCCTACTCTTCATTCATGTTCACTTTCCGTAACTCAATTTTTAATATAATAAAATGTGCACATCCAGTCCCTCAATGGAGTCCCACTTGGGTTTTTACATTCTTCAGCTTGACAAGCACTGCTGTGCGGGAGGTCTTTCCATAGAGGCACGGGGGAGAGTCACTGGCAGAGCAGCGCAGGGATGGGCAGCCTCAGCCTCCTTGTGCTGAGACCCATTCTCACACCCGCCAGCAGCATGTGCCTTCCTGCCGCTGCACATCAATGGCCAACTCTTGGTTACACCAGACTTTTTGATTTTGCTGATCACAAGTGTAAAGCGGTACCTAGTGTGGGGTAATCTGCATTTCTGACTGCTACTTAGGCTGAGCAGATTTCCACATGTCTATATGTTAGTTGGAATTCCTGAACATTTGAACCCTTAGCCCAGAGTACCCTCTTAGGTATGGCCATTCCTATTTTTTTGCTCTTTATTTTTTTTTCTAATGGAGTGATTGCCTTCTTGCAATTGATTTAAGGAAATTCTTGATATGTTCTGAGCATTTTTGGCCCATTAATTTTGTTTTGAATTTATCTACATGTATGTGGTGTTACCGTCATTTTATACCATGATAAACAGAAGTTGATTACTTTAATACTGTCCATTTGCTTGTTTTTATTTCTTATCTTTGTGATTTATTTAAGAGTCTTCCCTTTGGAGCCAGAGAATATGGGTTTGATCTCAGTTCTATACTTGCTGGTTTTGTGACGCCGGGAAGATGTCTGATACCCCAGAGCCTCAGTTTCTTCCCCTGTAGAGTAGGGGCAATAGCAGATGCACCTCCCAGGGTACTTTTGAGGAGGTCTGTAAAGCTCAGAGCACAGCACCAGGCCAGCACCACCCTCCTGGGCACAGACTCCACCCCATACAGGGAACCCACCCAGGAGGGCTGAGATACCTTGCTCTCCAGCAAGTCTGCGTTCTGCCGGAGCTCATTCCGTGACTTCTCTGATTTTTCTAGCTTCTTTCTCAATGTTGTAAGCTCCTCCTACAAAAAGAAAGACCTTACCAAAAGCCACTTAGGACCAGAGGTATTGGTTCCGCATGTGTTAAAAGGGGCTGGGTAAGGGAATAGGCGACTCAGCCTGCCTATCTGATGCCCAGATGCTAAGTTCCTACAAGGGATTTTTCTTTCACCATTTCAGAATACCAACATCTCTGCTCATGCACATCTGGCCACACCAGCGCAGGTATGAATGCAAATCCTTGGAACAGGACCGCTTGCTGAACCTGAGACTGGGCATGCTCTCTTTCCTCCTGGAGTACACTTAGTGCCAGCAGCTCAACGCTATCTTACAATACCACCATTAGGATCCATTTCAGCACCCATCCACAGCAGGCTGGTGCAGAACTATGGGACACCATGGTAAGTGGCCGTGGAGAGAGAACAAGGAAGATTTCCATAAAAATGGACGCAGCGTAACTCTCAAAATACAATTTTTAGTGAAAAATGAAAGTTGCAGAAGACTACATGTAGTATGCTACCATTTGTGTAAGAAAGAAAGGAACTGTGTGTATTCTTGCTAATTTTTTCAAAAGAAACAACAGGCAGGAGGGCCTCCCCTGGTGGCGCAGCGGTTGAGCACTGGGTTTCGAGGCTGCCCGCAGCCTCTGCAGCACCAGTTCGATTCCCGCCCACCGGCGAGGGTCCCACAAAAAAAAAAAAAAAGAAAAAAAAAAGAAACAACAGGCAGGATAGACCAGGAGTCAATCAAAACTGGAGGGAAATAACCTGTCTACAGCAGCTGTCACCAGAGTAGAAGGGAGAGTAGTAGGAGTGTTGTCTGAGAGGTAGGGAGAGAAAGGACTCAATGATTTCACCACTTAACCAGCACCCACGAGCCCAGAAAGGAGCTGGGCACAGGACGAAGACTGCTCTCTGTTGATGGGGACAGAGAGATGGCATCTGGAAGGGGCATGAGGACGTGCTAGGGTGGGGTTGGGGGTGTGAAACACTCCTAGATCAAGAAGTTTCAGGGGTGGAGACACTGGGTCTGGAGGCAAAAATAAGGTGGGGGTGGGGGAGGGAGCAGCCACTTGGCTGCCATCTGGACCAACCTCCTTGGCACGGAGCTGCTCATCCCCAGTGGTGGCACTCAGCAGGGGCCGGAGGGAACCAAGGAGCTGCCACCACGGCCAGTCCTTGACCGCTAGGAACACAGCCATGTTCTTCTGGATGCACTGGGTGGCCAGTCGGCGAATCTGCAGGGGAAGGAGAGTGGAGACTTGAAGGTCCTTCCCAAAACCGGTGGAGGTAAAGGAAGAAAAGAGGCAGAGGGTGGTGAAGGGGGTAGAGGAAATGGGTTTCTGTCCTAGTGGAGGGATTAGGTAACTGAAAATAAAGAGCTGTCCTTCATGGAGTCAGGCTCTCAGCACCAGGCATCGGGCATATGACATGATCGTGCATGACATAACAATGATAATAGAGCAAGGAGTAAAAAATATGGCAGAATGGGTCACAACATATAGGGTTAGGTTCAAGTCACTGTGCAAGGCCAAAACCACCTGTGCAAATCCCGGAAACTGCTGACAAGAGGTGATGGCCTTGATTATTATGTTAGCTGATATTTAGGGGATAAATACCACTTCAAGTGTATTTAAATTCCATGCTTCTCAAACTTGAGTGTGCATCAGAATCTCCTGGAGAGCTTGTCAAAACACAGATGGCTGGGCTCCACCACCCAGGCTCAGATTCAGTGAGTCTGGGGTGGGGCCAAGAATAACCTGCTAACCAATCCCCAGGTTATGAGGGTGCTGCTGGTCCGAGGACCACACTGCCCCAATTCACCCACCTTATTTATCTTAGGTAGAAATCATGCTGAGGAGACCCTGTCCCCTCACCACCATCACAAAGGCCAGCACGCTTGCTGGTATGGCACTTCCTGCATGCCAGGCACTGCCCTGAGTATCTTATACACTTTGGCTCAGTTCTCAAATCAGCCTTGTGAGGTAGGTGTTATCAGTATAGCCACTTCACTGATGGGAACACCACGGGACAGAAAGGCAAAGCCATGTGTCCCATGTCACACAGCTTCTCAGTGACAGAGTTGGGACGGAAGCCCTGAGTCTGGCAGCAGACAGCACTCAGGCTTTCAGCGTCTTTTGCAAATCATCCCAGGCCTAAGTGCTTAAGTGCAGTGGGCCATTGGGATTGCTGAAATTATTAGAATGATTCATGCTCTTGCCATATGCTAACTTTGCCAAGTACATATATTTGAATGCACAAGTTCACATGTACTAGAGGCACATGTAATAAGACTGTATGTTATCAGTAAGACTTAATAACAGTATTAACATCATAGCAGGTAGCATTTATTGAGCTATTACTATGTGCCATGTACTGTAGTGTGTGTACATTAGCTCATCTTACCTTCAGCCAGCTGCTAAGCAGGAGGGTGGGATTTGGACATTGTCTCCAAGCCCTGTTGCCTTCCCAACACTGTGCAGACTCAAAGGACACTCAGCCTCTGAGATTTCTAAAGACGGTGGCCCAGGGTGGTTCATTACTCTACACTCTGAACTTGTCCTTTGATCCCAAAGCTCTCAGGACTGAGGCCTGCACATGCCCTGTCTGGTGACCCCTGAAAGTCAAGTTCTCCAGAGAATGTATAGGCTGACAACATGGACCAACCCAGAGGGCTTGGACAACCTTGTGGCTATCTAGGTAGTGGGCATCGTGGGTGACTTGTTGTCCACGTCCAAAAAACAGTCATGATTTCTTGCATAGTGTTGCTTAAAATCTCACTGCTCAGGGTGGGTCTGTGAGGTAGCAGCACTTGCATCCTCATGGGAGACAGGCAGACCCTGTGCTCACTCCAGATTCACTGGATTTGACTCTGCACAGTAACAGTATCGCACTGGGGATTCGCGCACAAGTGAGTGTGAGAAGCTTGGGACTGCAGCCCCTCATCCAGGACCTCCTGCCTCTGCCGGGTTCTGCAGGCACACGGGCCTCCATACCTTCAGCTTCTTGAACTCCTGGCGAGACAGAAAGCCCTTGCAGGCCGCCTGGAAGAAAATGATGCTGTGAGACGCCAGCTTCTCTCTCTGCTTCTCAAGTCTGGAGACCACTCCCGCTTTGAGGAACACCTGCAAGGAGAGAAAGCTGAAGGTGACTTCCACGAAGGTGAATCACTATCTGTGATAGGAGCAATGGCCACTCAGGGCCTAGTTCTCTTGCATCCACTGAAATATCTGCCCACAGCTGCCCTTCACTAAGGGTCGAAAGTGTCTCACGATGGCTCCTCTTTCCCTTTTTCTAGGGTCCATGCACCAGCAGCATCAGCACCATATGGAGGCTTGGTAGAAATGCAATACTGTGTCCCCCCACAGTATTCTGCTAAATCAGAACCGACATTTTAATATGATCCCAGGAACCTCAGGCACACATCAGTTTGAGAATGACTGCTAGACACACCTGCTGAAATGTCTCTCTGTGTCAGAGAGGGTGGCAAAGACAGGTTCCCTGGCCTTGCCCCAGAGAGGTCAGATCTGTGGGTTTGGTCTTGGGCCTGGGGACATGCATTCTTTGGAAAGAGTCACTGACAATCTGAGAGAAAGGGGACCTGGAAAACACCTCAGTCCTGCCTTAAAGGAAGGGCAGAGAATGTGACGAAGGAGTGGATGGGGCCAGGCTTGTGCCTCCCAGAGAGGGTGCTGAGGCATGTAGCAGGAAACAATGTGTGGTCCACAGTTTCCAGGCTGTAGCTCATCAATAATGGATGAAGGGCTCTGCAGCAAAGTGATCAATGCCTCCTTGGCACCCCGCAGGGCTGCCTTCGAATCAACTGCAGGGAAAGGATTTTCCAAGCGAGCCTGACACTTTGGGGCCAGGTCTGCTCCAGCCGCTAGTAGGACAATTTTGGTGCAGCATTTTCTCACCTCATCTAAGGAAAGATACTTTAATGGTGGCATCTGAGCACTGACAGGAGGTGGGTGACTTTTCAGATGTCCCCGATGCTGCTGATTTCTATCCACAGTCCTGAGAATTTCTTTTCCAGATGTGGCTTATGGCCGCAAAGATGTTGGGTTTCTCTGGAACACATGACAGCTGTATCATAGTGATATCATCAAGTAATATCAATTAAGGTGCAACATTTTTGGGAGACTTTACTGTGTTCTAGTTATTTGATAGGCAGGCAAATCAATAGACAAGTATAAGTCTATATGGTACTCATTGTGATCCCATTTATGGAGGGAAACGTACAGTTAAAAAGGGCATTTCCCCCATGATCCTCCACTAGCAAGTGGCAGTAGTAGGATTTACTTCCCTCCATCTGACTCCAGACAAGAAGACAATTCTCACTGAACATCATTAACATCTGCATGACATCTGCATTTTTCGAAGACTTTTCTCCCATGTCTCATACTAATACTCAAGGTAACCCTCCAGGGAATCAAGTAGCTCAGGGAGGTCATGTATTGGACTCAAGGTCATGTTGTTGATGACTAGCAAAGCTAAAACTTAAATCCAAAGTCTAGTTCATTCTCTGCACCTGTTCTCACTGTCAACACAGGCTTCGTTTTCTCATTCATTAGGACCCAGCACACCTGAAATTTGAGGCTGAATTGCAATCTGATTCGAGGTCGAACAAAGGATGTCAATCGATTCTCCATCCTCCTAAATCTATTTTCTGTAATGGCAATCCGCGCCCCCCAGTCCCACAGTAAACCCTTTCTCAATGGGAAAATGAAAATTAGCACACCCAATCGGTGCTAACTCGGTTTTGCAACCTTCCATTGCTTTAGAGAACACTTCCTAACTGCCAGGGCCACCAAGACAATTAGCCTCATTGAAATAAAGACACGATTGACTCATTACCTATCAGATTGCCTCAATAATGACTGTATTAATTTCACAAGCTAGTGAGTCCCAAAAGCTGCTATTAAAAAAAGAAATCAATGATCAAAGTGATGACAGCACTAGTTCGTATATTACAAAAGGCGGCGGGTGCTGCCAAAACCACTATTGATTAAGTATGAAGCTTTCATTAAAAAGATAATTGGAAACGACCATACACAGAATGGGAATAAGTCATCGCCTCTGCAGAATCTTATCTTGATTTTTTTTTTCTCCTTTTAAGAGCACATTGCCAACCAGGAGGCTAAGTGCATGTGGAATCCCACCTTTTTCATAAATGTCACGGCCCTGGGCACAGGCCTTGATAAGGCACCAGGGCTCAGAATCACAAAGAAAAATCTAAATTATTCGCCTTTCACAGGTCTAGCTGCTTATCAGGCCCAAACAGAGTATAACATCCAGACATCCCCATCTTTAAGGAATCTGCGGGGGCCACCACGATGCAAGCTGTTTTCCCTCTAAAAATGCTGAAGGCCAAGTTTTAAAAATCTGACAGGGCAATAGCTCCTATGTCTGGTACTGCTGAGAAATTAGCTTCTTGTAGTAATTTTCCAGACTAGAGGAGTTTAGCTCTTTAAGCATTAAAATGTTGTTCATTTGATAAGCATCTTGCCCCTGCTGACAAATGCATTCAATATGTCATGACAGCCAAACCCTGTTAAATGGAAATTGACTGATTCCCACAGCCAGCTTGGCATGATGTCCCACATCCATTTTACAGATGAGAGGAGTGAGGCTCAGAGAGGTAAAATCAGTCACTCCAGATTCAAACAGTTAGGAAGAGAAAGCCTGAATGTTCTCCACTTCATAGCTTCCCACATATTCAGTGCCCCATCCTGCAAGGCAGAAGAGTTGCATCTGCTCTGAAAGATCTCAGTCTACCGTCTAGCTGGCTTACAGAAGGATATAGGGACCTTGACTTGCACTTAACAGTCTCCTAGTGAATACAATATTATTCAATAATGATGCTGTTTTATTATTGTGGTGATCTGGCTTACAGACTCCTTGCCCTCGCCACTGTAAAGGGAGTATACGTAGTGGCGAATCTTCTGTTCTTTCTTCTGCAGTAGCTGCTGGGCTCATTGGGACTGATTTTTGTACTCATGACATAGCTGAGTGACTAGACCAGGGCTCACACACTGGCACATGCACTAGAATCCCCTCGAGGATCTGGTGTAATCCAGGCAACTGGGTCCCACCCCCAGTTTCTGATTCATTAGGTCTGGGGTCACACCTGAGAATCTGCATTTCTAGCAAGCTCTCAGGTGATAGTGATGCTGCTGATCCAGGGGCCACACTTTGAGAATGGCTGGTCAAGCAGGATGAAGTTCTTGGAGGTGAACAGTTCGACTGACTCAGGGCAATAAAGTCCTGTGTCAGAAGTGTGACACAGGAGCCCACAGTGTATTGAAATGAACCTGGGATTTGGATCAATACAGGTTTTCAGGGGCTGTACCTATGCCCCCAGGTACCTAAAGGACCTTGAAAGGGGGCTTACTTCCAGAGGGACAGCCTCCCCATCTGGAAGGAAGGGTTATTCTCATTATCTCAAAGGAGATTGTGAGAGAAAAGGAGCAACACATGGCATGGAGTTGCCCTTAGCACTCCACTCCATGGTGGAAACCCAGTAATCAACTGGTTTATTTCCTTTACTGAAATGGTCTGCAAGTTTTCGATATCTGCCCACTCCCAGCAGGATCAGTCAATTGAGACCACAGCAGACTAACTGCTTCAACCTCACGCTTTAGCAGAAGCGGGAGGGGCATGGGGTGAGATGTTGTGCTACGGGGCAATATCTGGTGCGAGCGACTGTGAGCTCTCCAAGGAGAGAGAGGGATGAGGCAGGCTGCTGAGGACTGTAAGAAGCACCAATAGTGAGGAGTGGACTTCTGGGGACCGGGGCCCTTCTCCAGCTCCTCACATAGCACCTGCGCGAGGGAGGTGATGGACAAAGGTTTATTGTGTGACATAATTCAGTCAGCAGATAACTGAGGAGCCATGTGGAGTCATGTTTCTCTCTTGGCTATTCTCTCTTCACTTTGTGTTTCTAAACTTCATCTTTCTCCCCTGTCCACCACCTGGTCTTTGAGGTGACAATCTCTGTACCTCACTTCTCAAAATAGAATGCAATCCACGGAATATTTGTTCCAGGAGATAGTTAACAGGCCTTCCACAATGATGAAGGATGGGAGTCCCCTGGCCAGTTTAGAAAGGCCTAAATATTGTGTTTCCCTTCCTGAATATTTATAGGCTATCTGAGCATATGAAGGCTCTGTGGAATTTTCCCTAAACAAGTAAACATTTTTGGAAGAGCTTTTGGCTCAACAGCAGTTTGTAACAAGCTATTTCTCTCAACTCTAAAACAGTATGCCTTCCCTTCAAGCCCTCTCTTTTCAGTTACTGCTGCTAATCAGCTAGGACTAGAGTTGTGTTACAGTTGATTGCAAAGCAAAAGTTACAAGGCCTGAGGGAAGATGAGCGTTTCCTCCCAAATTTTATGGCGGCTCTTTCCAAGGCTCAGAAAAAAGGAGAGGCACACGGAAGTCCCAGCTGTTAACTCTTCCAGACCTCAGGGCCCCTGGGAGTGTAATAAATGTTATTTCCCAATGTTATTTCCTCCACATTGTAACATTTCATCCTCACAACCTTGTAACAGGGCAGAAAAACCATCAGCCTTGTTTTGGGCTTGGTGAAAAGGAGACACACAGAAGTAATGATCAATTGAGGTAGAACAAGAATCTCGTCTCTCAGAGTCCCTGCTGTGATTGGGCAGAATGTTCTAAGAAAGTTCTACTCACCTGACTGTGCCCCACAGCCACTGCTGCCTTCTCCAAATTTAGGGTCTGCAGGAGCTCCTCCACAGCCTGGGGAGAAGAGAGACATTAGAGGTGAAGACAGAGAAAGGCAGGAGACTCTCAAAGTGGGCAGTCAGGCTGGTAGGATGGGGGAAGGCTGCATCGAGAGAGGAGGAGGGCCGAGCCCAAGCGTCTGTGAGCTGTGGCGCACGGAGCTCGACCTCACCCCGGTGAGTGGGGAAGGGCGGCACACATGGAGCCCCTACTGTGTGTCACCCGCTCTGCTAGGACGGTCACAGACACCATCTCCTTTCATTCCCATAGCCACCCTAAGGGGGTCCTCGTACTACCATGCCCATTTTATAGAGGAGAAAACCAAAGGCACAAAATGAGATGAAGAATGTGTCTACTGTGGAAAACTGTGCTGGCTCCGACCCGAGAGAAGTAAGAACAGGGACCTGATGGACACTGTGCACCTGGCACCCACGGTTGCATTATTCACCCAAAGCAGCCAAAAGGTAGAAGCAAACCCAGTGCCCAGCAATAGAAGAATGGCTAGGTACGTGCAGACACACTCAACAGAATGTGTTTAGCTTCAAAAGGGGATGAAATTCTGAGACACGCTGCCACATAGTGAACGCTGCAGAATCAGCCGATGACAAAAGGATGACAACTGTATGCTTCCATTTATTCAGGCACCTAATAGAGTCAAATTCATAGAGGCCGAAAATAGAATGGGGGTAGCCAGGAACCAGGCAAAGGGGATGCAGAGTCAGTGTTTAATGGCTCAGAGCTTCCATTCTGCAAGGTACATAGCGCCGGAGACGGATGGTGAGAGCGTGGCCCGGCATCGCAGGTATGCTTGCTGCATGCTTCAGTGGAACCGCATATCAAAAATGGTGGAAGTTGCAGAGTCCGTGTTATGGATGTCTTGCAATTAGCAAAAAAACAGCATAATGAAGGCATTTCTCCAAGGTTCTAAGGTTGCATGAGTAGAGCCAGGCATCTATCTCCTGAACTGCTCTGCAGGCCTGGCATGGCTCCCAAGGACCCCAGGACTCTGGAATATTCACCCAATGTGTCACTAAAGTCTCCGGTGACAGTTTCCTCAACACCCCACCCTCTCACTTTGCTTGCCAGTGACTGTCTCTCTCTCACAAATATTTGCTGAATAAATGACATGGCCATAAACCTTGTGCATCTGACATGGATTATGAGGGAGGGCCTTTATATAATACAGCTCTTAGTCCTCCATTGTACCTGCTACTGTTCTGTGCATACAGTAAGAGCTCAATAAATATGATGGCTGCATGAGTGACCACCTACACAAGAGAGATCTAGCAAGAGGGGAAGTGTAAGAGGGAGAAAGGCAGCCCCATAAAGGAGAAACAAACTCACTCAAAGACAAGCTTGAATGCAGCGTAGGTCAAATCACCAGATGTTGAATGGAATTTTCCTCTTGTCAAACTGTCCTGCAGGCTCTGAAAAACCCTGCTGGAGAGCTGTACCCTCAGATAAACACAGGTCACGCCTGGTTCCTATGTGACTGCCAATTCCCTTCCCACTCCACCCCCATACCACCCCTCATGGACCTTCCATTCACTGAGAATCACAAAGTCTATTTGCAGAAAAGAAAAAAAAAAAACCTGTCACAAAAGTAATTGCAAAACTCAAGAGGCAAAAAGGTATTATGAGACTGAAGAAATCTAGTAGATGAGTTTCAATTCCATGGGTCATCGGAATCACAGAAAAGTTTCTAAGATGTCCAAAAAAGTGCTTATTAAAAGTCTAGTCCAAGACTATAATCTGGGAGTAAGTTTCCTCCTCTGACCTCCTAGAAGAACATTCCATAACGTCCCTCCAAAAATTCAGTGGTTTCACTTATTACATTTTAGACAAAAATGTTACAGGGGAGTTGTAGGCAGCAGAATATATAAAACCAATATATCCAAACTACAACATCTTTTCTCTCTGCACAAGACGAAAACAAAATAAAAATTGACTGGAAATAAGATGGATGGATAGATGAAAAATAAATGAAACGAACAGTCAATGCAATTTTTCTAGGTCTACCTTGGAGTTAATACCCAAAGTCAATGTTGGGGAGGGGGGTGCTAAAATCTGGATCTGGACTTAGAACCACTTGGGTTGAGATCCTGCCTTCACCACTTTAAACTGTATGACCTTGGACAAGCATTTCACTTGGAGCCAACCATAGACTCCTCTGCAGAAAAAAAAAAAATGGGCATGGTGGATACTAGTACCTATTTCAGAATATTCTGCGGCTGGGTGTGTGGAGGGCTTCACGTAGACCTGGCATATGGTAACACACACTACGCATTATAAGCTAGTCCTTATTTTTCTAAGCTGGTCCTAGCCAGCTTTGTTCTGGTCAACACTCAGGAGCACTGCAGCAGAATGTGGACTTAGGCTTCTGTTTCTTAGGTATACCCCAGACACTGTCACAATATGTTCCCAACTACCTCAATAGTTGAGGATTTTTTTTCATCTGTTTGTTTTATAGTCCTCTAGATGTCTGTGTAGCCAAGAATAGCAAGCTTAATAAAGATGTCCTGTGCTGTTAACCTTCTTTGTCAGAAAATAAAACTTATGTCCAAATGGTAGAGTGAATGGGGGGGGCTACAGGTACTGAACTATGGTTCCGACCCTCATTTTCCTGACCTGCAAAATGGTGACAATATTCCCTGCTTAGGCTGTATAGATATTGGGTAAATAATTGAGAATGTGTGAAAAGGAATTTGTAAATGATTTGGAGTTAATTACTATTATTATTTTCATCATTAATATTGTTCTTAGATTGAACCATATGGAAATATCACTTGTTTCTGTCAAATCAGTGGTTTCATTTGGTTCTGCATAATCTAATCATTATCCAGAAGCCAGTAGATGTCAGTTGGTAGAAGACAGAACAACAATCCAGGTCACCATAAGAAATATCTTCCTTGTCCCTCATTTTTATGGAATCAGCTATTCCATCTGAATTGTCTAGAAAATTGAGAATTAAACTTACAAGCAAGTAACGCCACCTTTGTGAGAAAAATGTTGGTCATTTTCTGCCAAGGAGACAGTTTCCTATTTTATTTTTTGAGTCTGAGCACTGCTCTAAGTACTTTATGCATAATTCATCTAATTTTCAAACCTCTAGAACAGCTACTATTTGATCCCCATTTTACAAAGAAAGAAAATGGGGTCCAGTGCAATGGAATGATTTGTCAAAGGTCACATGCTAAAAAGTGATGGAGGCAGATACAAACTCAGAGGTCAACTTTTGAAACTTGTTCTCTGCCCCCAGATGCTGGGATCCAGCTCAGCTTTACACTTTATTAGTTGTGTGACCTTGAACAAGTCACGCCCTCCTCTCTAATCCTATAATGAGATGCCAAAAGTAACATATAAGAGTAAGACTTCCAGAACAGTAGAGCATGAGTTTGATAAATCCTCTCCTCCTCCCCTCAAAAAAGATAAAATTTTCAAAATCAAGTTTAATATTCTGGAAATTAAACAAGGAGATACAATAAATTGAGAATCACTTATTTGAACAAACCTATTGAGCCTTAAGAAAAGTGGGAGCTTACGGCAATCTTGACTAGGGCTCTTCCGACCTCCACTAAGATCTGTTATTGTAAAAGTCCTACCAGAGTGAGGCAATCTGCGGAAACCAGCAGGTTGGCTGTCAGCAGAGGCTCGCTTACAAGGAATAAAGTGCAGGAAGATCAGCCACCAGTATTATTATTGGAAACAATGGTGATCTAAACGGCAAAGAAATGGAGAAGGTCAATGGCACAACTAGCCTAAGACTGTTACCTTATTGGGACAAGCAAAGGGCCATTGACTAGCCAGAAACTTAACTGGCTGTTATTTGGCCAGTTAAGGGAATAGGATAGTCCCCATGGGCCTCGATAAACTCCCACATATTCCTGGCAATCTGGAAGTTTGAGCACACATCCAAGGCTTTATGTGAACACAGGAAAGACTGAGAGATTTCCAGCTATGCGTAGATCACTATTTAGACATAAGGACATGGCATTAGCAGAAAAGATTTGAAAAAGCCAAAAAAGAAAAGCTGGGACACAATGTCTGAATGTTGAATATGTTTTCCAGCCACGTAGGGCTCCATAACAGTTAGGTGAAAGCCTCAGAAATTCAAGGTGTTGGATTACAATTTGACCACTAAGCTGTGCTAACATAGGGGCAACCCTGAGAATCCAAGCTTTATAATAAAACCAAGAATAAATGCTGAGCAGAGATATCAGTAGTTTCACCAGCAGTTTCAATCAAGGCCAGAGAGTTATTAAATAATTGTGAAAAGATCAGAATCCAGAGATTATATACTTATCTACATTTATATATGCACAGATACTTACATTAATATCTATGTACAAATATGTACACTTATATGTAAATACATACAATATATTATCTAAAATGTTTCCAACAAAAAAAAATTAAAAGACATGTAAAGAAACTGAAGAGTGAGACTTAGAGTTAGGGCCAAAAATACAAAAACCCCAATCAGTAGAAACCCTCTATGGACTCAAACGTTGGACATAACAGTCAAACGCTTGCAGGCAGCTATAATAAATGTGTTTAGAAAATTAACAGAAGCCATGCTTAAAGAATTAAAGGACAGTATAATGATAACAACTCATCAAATATAAAATATCAGCAGAGGTAGAAATTTTTTAAAAGCTCTAATCAAAAATTTTACATTTTAAAAAATACAATAACTGGAATAGTAAAGCACTAGAGGGGCTCAACAGCAGATCTGAGCTAGCATAAGAAAGTATCAGCAATACGAGGTCCTATGGTGTAATGGTAAGAAAAGTAATAATAATAAAAAATGGTAATAAAGGTAAACAAAGTCTCTAAATCCAGAACGTATCAGCAAACTTGAAGGTAGATCAATAAAAATTGTTTAATTTGAATGGAGAAAAACAGAAATCAAAATGAAAAGACCCCACAGACCCTCCCTGACATGTGGTAACACCAATTATACTGACAATGTATAATGAAAGTACCAAAAGGAAAGGAAAAAAAGGGACTGGAAA